TCCCTTCCTCGTTCGTTCTCGCTCCCTATCTCTCCCTCGCGCTCGCTACGCTTTCCCGGCAGCGGGCACGCTGTCCACGTTTCTCGTTCTGTCTTACTTGCTTGCGGGTAGCGGTCGCGTGCGTGATGACGGAGATGGTGGGGACGCGCGGAGGGCGGAAGTTGGACGGCGCGGCGCGCGGCGGGTCCTTTCGTCCTTCGGGCGACGTTCTCGCGCTCAAACTATCACCGGACCGCGAGTTGCATGACTAGTTAGGTATATCCTAAATTGCATCCGAGTACAATATACACAACTCGGCAGGGAAACGCGCACAATCTTTCTATTTTCGTAGTAGCTAGCGTTTGACATTTTCATGCCTCTGTAAAAGTAATTTATTACAACAGATTAACTTTTCAGAATAGGAATATAAGAAATTAATTGATATATAATTAATGATTATTATGAGGGTAAATAGAAAATTATATAAATATGAGCAGAATGAGACGTTAAAATGATAAGCAAGCTAATATGAATAAGAAAGGAAAACTATGAAATTATTTAATTTTAATAAACAATAAAATAATGCTTAAGATTATTATGTAAAGTGAAGACAGAATGCTTAATAAAACAAAGATACACATTTGATTTCTTCACAGAGAATTTATCATATATTATGAGAATACATTTTTGAAGTCGCATTTGATAAATGTCACAAGATTTTTTAAAATAAAAATAACAGAAGATATTAAAATAAATTATATTTTGGTATTATATCATATTATACATTTATTGTGAAGATAAATATATAATTAATGTTTATTAATCTTTCTATCTTCTAAAAATACATGCTTATTAAAGCAAATTCTTTTTATATTTATCTGTCTGTATATGATTTGTATGATTTTTCATGTATTTGTATGATATTATTTGTATTGATTTTTAAAAATGTATTTACTTTAATTTGTTTCAAATCGTGATCTCTCACACACACACACACACACACACACACACACACACACACATATATGTGAATATGTCTAATTCAGACCTGGAGCATTGAGCGATATGTACAGGTCTGGGTCTAAGGGAGATCGTTCTGTTGGAACTGCGAGATCGCGCGCGCCTCGCCGAGCCGGAACTGGAGTGTATTTCTGTGTATCTCATTAATTTTATTCCATATAATACGGCATCCAGAGTGCGGCCGCCCTTGACACGGCGGTGCCGCTGATTAATGAAGTCGGCTTGCCATTTCAAAAGTGTATCCCTCCCGCGGAATTCGGGTTTGACGCGCAGCTTTTCTCAGAGAATCTTTGATTTATCGTTCCAATAACACACGAATAATCGAAACCGGCGCGAGGCGCCGCGAACTTTGTGGAGGCATTAGGAATAATTAATTGTCGCTGAAGCCCTTAACGCGACGGTGCGGTGAGTCGAAACACGGAAGCGAGCGAGTTGGCGGGAAGCTTTTTAATGTCAGCGAGATATAATCTGTCTCATAAGATTTAATATTCAGTTGTATACAGATCTATGTTTTAATGTATCACGTATACGCGTAAACTGCACGTTCAAACTGCATGTAATTTCTCACGCTTTCTCTTCTTCGAATTTTTATTAAATTATATATTGCATACTTTTTTTTATTATAGAAAGCGTTTTGATATATATTAATATTTTGATTATATTATATTATTAATATTTCCTTTTGGTAACTAAATCTTGATTATACACTTATATACGCGTCTTGTTTGCTACAGTCTATAAAAAGAGACTTTAGACACTTTAATATTTTTGGTAAATTTTTATTACCAAACAAATTAAGGAATAATTCAGTCAATCATCCCAAATTTGCATATACAAGAAAATTTATATCAACAAGATCATAATGGAATTTAAACCGAGGATTTATCTCGTAACAAGATTGTAAATTCTACGATTGCGCCACACACAAAATATCGTCGACGCATACGATTTACACGCGCACGCGTGTGTCGGCGACGTGTCGGAACATATTTGTCCACGTGGCGGTCTTACCCTTTATTCCCTATTCTCATCCTTCGCCGTCGTGACCCTGCCGCTGGGTGACCCATCCCTCTTAACTCTCCTCTCTCCTATACGACAGAGACTCCGGAGTGGGTCGCGAGTCACGGCCCTCCACGGAATAACGAGTCTCATTAATCCAATTAACCAGTAAATAATGGGATAGCATTTTCGTATTTACGAGAGAATACTTGGCCGGCCCTAATGGAGTTTTGAGCTGACTATCAATATATTCCTGCTGGCGCGGCGCGAGGGAACAAAGTACGGGTCACTCTCTCACTTAGTTAACCGGGCTTCGGAGCCGGGGAAGGTTAGCGTCCCCGGACTGGCTGGAGGACATCGATCTCGGTTCCTTCTTAGTTGAGGGAATCTGATTTTCAGAAACGCGTCTGATTATATTTTGCGTCGTCACGTTACAGATTTTTTGCAGGAAACGAATAATAAATAGAACTGCCATTAGTTCAGAAAATTTGTGTATAAATATAAATTCTATTTTTTGTTACTTTTTTTTGCTACTTCCAAATTTTATTTTATTTTATCCCATTTTAAGAGAGAGAAAATCAGTCGACGTATCATAATTTGTATGTAAGATAGAATGAGTTTTACAATAGATTTGAAAACTATGGCTACTTTGCTGCTCCGTTCGCAGATATATATTTACAAGCGCTACATATAGCGACGTTCTATACATATATGTTGAGGTACGCTTTCTACAACTTTTGCAATCGATCTCGCCACCCGCGTGAGTCGATACGTAAATACTAGACTACTCGTCGTAGACATGAAACTTCTCGTACTGCAGTTTGGAAAATTTCCGAATCGATCACACCTTTAATGCAATCCTGATTAATACTTATAATTTAAGATACATTTATATTTTTTTATATCCTGTTTAATCTTATTTATTTTTTTAAATCTATATCTTGCGCATTTAATGTAAAAAAATTAATTTTAGATGATTTATATTTCGTGGTCTGACAGAATCGTATTTATAATTTTATATGTGTATATATAAATACCTGAAACACATTTTCTTCCTATATTGTACGGTATTGTTGCGTCAATATGAAAGAGAAATTCACTTGGAGCAACATACGAGCAGCGTAGAGTGTAAATTTTTAACTTTGGCGCGTGCAGTCGATTTAGCTGGAAGTTTACTGATAAAGTCGAACAGCGCGTTGCGAATAGTGAGTACGCGATGCCGGCTTAATGAAAATTGTTTACACCCTTAATGGTAATCTTTGAGCAGAATTGCTTTCGCTCTTTCCCCGCCGCGCGCGTCCGCGGAAATTCTGGTACGTAGCTGATAGCGAGCGGCGGAGAGGGAAGTTGGATCGCGCGGAGCACATTCGGCGCACGTTTCTCCTTTAGATCTGGGGAGCGTTAAGGATATCTATTTGTGTCGCCCGCTAGAGGTGGAAGCAATAGAAATTACAGCGGACCACGTTCTGGGTTGGCTCATGATTTGCATATTCGTTTGAAACAATATCCTCGGGTGAGCGCGGCGGTAGGTCGTTTTAACGCGGCAGGGGCGCCGCACAGAGTGGAGGGAGGGTTTGTCGCCGTCTATATGGGACAGAGGGGCGCGGGAGGTAAGGGAAACAGAGAAAGAGACATGGCAGTGGCAGGGGGCAAGGTGGTGGCGGTGTTCGACTGTTTCAATTAAAATAAGCATACGCCGCTAGCGAGCCAATACCGACCATCGTTTCTTTCTTTCAGCCACCCATCAGCGTCCTCTCCCCCTCTCTCTCTCTCTCTCTCCATCCCTCTTCCTTCCTCTCGAGAAGATCGAAAAAAGTTATCCCTCGTCCGGGTATATTACTCAAGTGTCGTCGAGATCTGAATGCGAAAGCAGCCATTGAAGCTTGATGACATTAATACGCGTTTCTTCGCGATCGATAACACGATTTATTGGAGGACACGGTGTGATCGTCGTTCATCTCTTTCTCTTCGCCCTTCTCAAATAAAAAAACTCAAGTAATATATCCGAGGCAAATAATGTTAATTTTGAACAAATTTTTATTCAGATGCGCGATGCATATTTTATTCTTTTTTACGATTTCAAATATTCTAAAATATACGATTGTTTTGACATTTTTAAAGGAAACGGGGATGTCAGTGAAATAACGGCTAATATTTTCAGCCATCCGTTTTTCCTCCGTCTATTCTCGATGCTTCTGCGCATCCTTCCCCGAGAGAACATGTACATATAAGATACTTTAAATGGGAAATCGAAACGCTTCGCAGATAACTCTCCTCGGGTGAGAATGTATTCAAAATGGCTGCCAGGCGGGCGGGAGCGTTATGGATAGGAAGGAGACAGCGCTAAATCCCCTATGATGATACGAAACATATTCTACCTCTAAAGAATCCGAAGGCCGACTCCCCCGCATCAGCTGACAGCTATAAAATAAAGTTCATCGTTTTTATCCCTCCCCAGTCCTCCGGAATTTAATTGGAGATGGCGGATGCAGATGCGCATGTCAAGGAGATTTTCCATTACTGCTTGAAGTGTGACTAAATTAAAGTTGATTTATACTTTTCAACTATCAATAATATAAATGATATTAAAAGTCTGAGAAGCTTGTGCTTTCGGAATAAAATATCACATTACCAAATTTAAACTGCGCGCCGAATCAATGTCGGACTTGCAACGCAAGCTGAGGTTGGAATAATGAGATCACAATTGATCTTCATTCCTTAATAATTCGACGCGACTGAGCATCTGAAAATACTGCGAAGAACTTATTGCGAAAAATATGAATTATTTCATTAAATAATCAGTGGCATTAAGTAAATCTAGAAATGATCTAAATAGAACTATTTAAAATGTCTGTTGCAAACGTAAAAATAACACAACCATGATGCTTTGTTTGTTACAGGTAAGTCTATATGGTAGCTGTGCCAATCGGATATCACCTTTTCATTGAAGTCTACATTATCTTGTTTTTACTGTCGACACCTCGCAAATCGTATATATGAAGCGCTGCCAGGGTAATCACGCGTGGATACATTTTCGCGTCAAGATACCGATAAAAAGTGACGAGACGACATAAGGGTAAGAAATGGCAAGTTCGCGGTACGGATATTGACAGTAGGTGACATCCCCCTTTGCCCTCTTTTACATCACATTGACATTTATCTATGCCCTTCCAGATTTATCGAATTGACTAAACGCGTCCAATATCGCGCAACATTTTCAACACACTTAAAGGGTCCGTTTTCCCTCTGTTGCATCGTATCGGAATGTCGAAAATAGAAATAACAATCGCTGTCTTTCTCTCCTCTTTTGATGTCTGATATTATCTTATTTTTTTACGAAATTATAAATATCTTATACATAGATATCTTATATATCTTAAATATCTTATATACAGATACCTTATATAGGTAGATATTCTTTTGTTGTATATTTTATTTATCATTTCGTATATAGATACGAGAAAAATCAATTAAGTTTCTGTTCTGGAAAATAAGATTTTAATGCTTCTAGAAAACCTATAATAAGAAAATTAAATTTATTAGTACAGAAATAGATATTGTATATATTTCTATACTATATTACATTATGTGTAAATTTTTATACTATATATCTTTCTATACTGTTTTTATACGTTAGAAATAAAATATTTGCTAATATAATTCTAATATATGTATATAATATCTATAAAAAAGCAACATATTTATTAAAAGTCAGGTAACGCGCATATACAGATAGATAACGGGCGTACCTTTTCAGTCGTGTTCGGTACAAGTGCCTTTTTTCTTCACTCTCCTCGTTCGCTTTTAACGCTTCGCAGTAACGGCATCGTTGAGCCGCGTAAAGGATAATCCTCGATAACGATGTCGTACATTCCGAAAACGGCGTCAGAGGGTGGATCGATATGTATTTTACGTAAGGGTGACCATTCGTTTCATATTTGCTTTTGTTAGCGAACGTCGCGTGTTAGCGCGTCGACGGATATAACGTGCGAACTAATGCAAACGTCTCGCCGCGCACGTGTTAAGCGGATATCGCGACGCGCGGCCGGAGATGTATCCGCCTATTCAGAAAATAATCCAGAGATAGCATCTTGTCGCACTGCCGCATCCATAAACGACGAGGTAGTGTCATTTTAGGGCTGACAAGAACGGGGACGGGGGCGCTTCACGGTGCGTTCGGGGGATTAAAGATTATTTACGAGATGACGATAACGTTTTTGACGATAACATCTAACGATCGGTCTTCAAAGGGGAGAAACCCACCAACCGTTTTCACGACAGACTAAGCGAGAAATGCCGCTCGTCACGATGCATTCATTTGTCTGCTGGCTGGTGCCTCTGACAGCCGTTCGGCTCCGATGCTGGCGAGACGTTGCAACTATCGGTGGAGATAGTTATTAATTGTCACAACTACGGCGCATGCTGTAAGAAACGTGTTTCCCCATGTCTGGTATCACCAGTAACTACTTCGATCGTGTGCTTCAATTGATCTTTTACCCTTTTCTGCAGTGATTCTGACTTCGGAAAAAAGATAAAGAATTGATTGAACTAAGATTAAAAATTTACAGAAATAAGACTCTTATTGTTAGTAATTTTATCTGTATTGCAAATTGCGGTTTATAAAAATTTTAATTTTTGATATTTGTGAAAGTATATCAAGGAGGATCTATTAATCATAAAATTAGTGTAAATAATGCATTTGTTGTAACGTGTTGTAACGTCATTCGCATGAGATTCCTTTGCGCGGCAGAGCGTTACAGGTCTCGGTCGAGGATACGAAAGGGGTTGGTGCGTCACGAGGCAGGGGAGGCGCGAAAAGGGATGATACATATAGAGAGATGGTCGCAGGCCTCTTCTTCACCGTGGTAGGGTGGGAGGGGGGAAAGGGGGATGTTGTTATTTACGGTATTTAGATAACCGGCTTACGTAGGGTCCTCACACCCACCCCCCTCCCCATTGGCCGTGATCCCGCGCCCGAGATAGCGCCGGCACAGTGTCACCGGCAACCTGCAAGAGAGTGTGGAGCGAGGTTCCGTGCGCATTCGACTTGTAGATTATTATAACGAGCATCGCGTTGCATTAGCATACGTATCTGTTCTCCCGGGAAACCCACGGCGGGCGGCTGCCGCCGCCGCTGTTGCTGCTGCTGCTGCTGCTGCTGCTGCTACGGCTGCTGTTGCTGCTGTTGCTGCTGACGCAGTATTATACCGGAGAATTACTTCTCTACTATTCACTACCCTAACTGCATCTCCGACCGCGATGCACTCTTCCGCCCGTCCATGCCGCGTCGCGCCGTTTCTGTCTATTCAGTCATTCGCATGATGTGTCGCGGTTTTCCGGATTTTCCGAATTAACATGAATCATGGAATATAATTACATAAAGGGTCACAGATTATAAGTACAATTTATTTGCCTCGAGAATAAAGGTAATCGTTCGACAAATCAAGTAAATTTCTTACATAAATACATATTTTATCCTCACTGGAATATTAAAGTTTACTTTACAATTTAACGATATGTTGACCGATAAATCGAATAATTTTCGCCTCGTTTGCTCGACTCATTATAGATTTAGTATTTAGTATTGATCGATGAATTGTTGATCATCAATTGCCTGAAATTTGTAAATTTAATTAATTTGACCAAATATTAATATATATTTTGCTAATAATTTTAAAATGTTTTTGTTAAGATTAACTTGCTTTCCTTCAAATCAAATTATCTTTATCGATATGCTGATAACATAATTCCAATCAAAATCGCATAAATTTCTGAGAAAAAATTGTTCGCAAAATTGGAATTTGCAAAGATCGCAAATAATGAGCGTAAATAAGAGATAAAATCTTATTAGCGTCATAATTCAAGATTTGCAAAATATGTCACGTTAGTCTAGTAGATTTTCGACTTTTCCTTCTATAAGTGTACGCAATGAAAATATAAATTTATAGCTGCATTGTAATTTGTTTTGTAATTATTGCGTAGCCGCGTGCAAGCATGACCGAGAAAAATGCTAAGCTTAACGATAACAAGCGGAAGTCAGCGTGAGAGTTGGATTTCGGGAAACGGCAGATTTTGCTTGATATTATCTAATTGAGCTAACAGAGAAAGGATACGTCGTTCTGCTCTAACTTCATGGTCGGTCGCGCGTATCTTCCGGGAAGAGTAGATCCGATCTTCGTTATTTCTCGCGTGTTTGAAATAGATTTTGGAAAGTGGTATGAGTTTTGATGCTATCTAACATTGCGAAGAAACTTCGAATCTTTCACAAATTGAAGGTGTCGTTGAATACATAAATAAAAATCTTGATCATTACTATGAATAATAAGTGTTTAAAAATAGAATATTATAATTTTGCATCGTATGTATATTAAGTGAACAGAAGAAAGAAAAATGAAATAAAAAGTAGAGTAATTATTACGGTACGGTTATAGAGAAAGGAAGACCTAATAAACTTCAATAAAATGGTACCATCAATCGACAGATGAAAGAATGCGTATAAATCCGCCTTTGAGTGCATAGCGAAATACATTGGGAGGAAAAGCACCGTAGACACATACATACCAGTCTTTGTTTCCCTCGCGTGTTACTCTTTTGTTCATCCGTTAGCCCCGATAGCGATGTCGAACGAAGCGAACGATCTCTCGAGCGCCCCGGCATGGTCGGCGGAGCGACTCGTTGTGATCCGATAAACGGATAGATATCCGTCCGCCTGCCTAACCGGTACCACTATAATTAACGCTGACCTCCTGGCGACCCACCGGCAATTTTAGTAAGCGAACGATACGAAACACGGACAATCATAATAATCGCGGGCAAATCTTTCGACTTGTCAATCAGCCGACTGACACACGATGGTGGGTTGTTACCCACCACGAGCTCTGGCCCCGGGTTTGCGTGTCTCGAAGCGCGGCGTTGCACGCTAACTTTGCGAATGCTCGGCCATTAGCCGTGCTTTTCTTACTTCCTCGTTCGAGCCCGTCCGTGTATCCTCCTCGTTGCCTCGTCCTTTTGGCGTGTGTAGTCCGTGGTCTCGGTCTCGGTATTTACGGTAACACCGAGGAGTACACCATTCCGACACCGTCCAAGTACAATCCAGCGATAGCAGGTGGTTATGCGTTCGCGGCTGGTTTGATCCGCACACCGCTGAGTTTGAATCTCGCGGAAAGAGTAAAGTTTGTGAGAATCACAGATAAAGTGACTACCAGATCTCTTTTCCAATTATTTTTCTCTCTAACTTCCTCCCTCTTTTTCACCGTCTTTGAAATAAAATCTTCAAAAGTTCAAATGTACACACAGAAAATGCCTCGCGCATGATTCAGAGCCAACCAGAAAATATTGCTTCGCTTTCGTTACGGTCCTTTGGTGATTCGTCGAAATGGTTCGTGGGTGAAATCACAATTATCGGATCGTGGCACGACACGGATTCACATACGGCTACAATGGGATACTCGAGTAGGATACAATGTGTATGAGCTTTATTGTCCCCTTGAAAGCATCGGTCAGTTTGGTCCATCTGCTGACCCAGCGATAGTTGCTATAGCTGCACTACTACAAATCATCAGTTGCATCGGTTGCAACAAATTCCTAGTAAACTCGATGTATTATTTGTCCAAAAACTTATACAATATATAAACTTCTTTCTATGAATATGCGATATATCCATCTCTTTTATACCTCTTTTATATCTCTTTTATAAATTTTTTTTTTTATATAAATCCGATATTTACACATTTTCCGAAGAATATTTATTTAAAGCAAGTGCTGTAAGACTATTATAAATATATAAATTTAACATTTGATACATTCTTATTAAAAAACATTAATCTTTGAGTTAACATAATTATAATCTACTTATCTAAGAGTACATTATATCAATTCGCTTTAGTGACAATACAATAAAATTAGAAATCGAGCTCGATAGTAATCTAGTCTACGCAAGAAATCGGTCTCCGTGATTACAGAAGTCAATCAGCCTCCAGGGAGGATCATTAAATTGCAAATGCAAATGGTGAATGGTGAAGCCCAACGAGGGTGCACCAAGTGGGCGCTAATATACGCCAGAT